TCTGAATCGTACCTTTACCCCAAAGGGCTACAGAAAGGTATCATTCATATTTGCTCTGCTCTTCTAAATGCTTCAACTTTAGTACGCCTCATATAATGCAGAAGAAATTGGTGTATGAGAACTGGAGTCTGACAAGCATGAAGGACTTGAGAAAGAAATACACAACAGTAGCATCAACAGACTGCCCTTCGTGCTGCAGACTTCCATATTTGCACCTGTGCTTGTTGAGACAGCAATGATCTGAATGCAGTGCCAAGCTGCTAAAATTTTTAGAGTTTCTGAGGAAGAAACATAATGGTTAAGTAAAAGTAAAGCAGCCTCTGCAGTCAGGAGAGACCTGGAAATCCCCTTCTCCCTCCTTCTTTTTTTTCTTCCCTTTTTTCCTTTTCTTTCCAAAATGGCCACTTTAATATCCCCAGAAAGAAAAATATTTAAAGCATTATGTGAAAACACTTAATTCCCCTTTGAAAAGGATGATAAACAGCTACATCCCCTCATTCTGCACCTCAAACTGGATATCATGGAAAAGACAGGCAAACAGCATGACTCAACCATTTTGACTTTCTAGGTCTTCTTTGAAAAAGGTTCAAACTTTACCATTTTTAAGACTGAAACTTGTCAGTCACAACCCCCACATTTCTTTATGCTTTGTTCAAAACACAAAATATGTAATTGCTTCTGTTAAGGAACTTTTGCAAATCTTCCAAAGAATGAGCAAGTTCTGCCTTATTTCATTTTTCTTTTGTTCAAGTTCTGAATAATGTCAGCATGCTCAGACTTAGAAATACAGCACTGACCTGCTCTAAACTTAAGCGTGCACTGGGACAGAGTTTGCTTTTCTGCACCTTTCCCTGCTCCAAACCACCCTACGGTATCAATAAGAGGGTCCAGAACAAAATTTGCACTTAAGAAACACTACCAGTTTCTCCTACATAAAAATTCTTCCTAGCCCTAAGCAGGTTGATTTGAGAGAGAGAGAGACAGACAGACAGAACTGGCACTTCTGTATTGCAAGCGGGCCCATGTATATCTTGTCCCGCTACTACAACTCTGTGCAGTCAGAATGTGAACTCTCAATCTTCAACAAATGTAATGCAGCAACAGAAAATGTGCCCATAGTCAATTTGCCACGTAGTATGCGAACTCTATTACCTTCTTTACATACTATATTTTTACTTGGCTTATTACTGAAAAGGTCATTTAAAAATAGTTATTTTAAACATTTCAATTAGATTCCTAATGGATCTCCTAAGCCAGCAGTCCAGCAAATTAAAAAAAATTCATCAAGCCAGTAAAACATGCCTGCTTAGCAAATTTCTCTCCCGATTTGTCCTTAAGGATCACTTTATATATACACACACAAAGTCTTTCTAATAATCTCCCTTTCCTCATCATTTAGCATTAGCTGTATGCAAGCTTATATTCATTATATCCATAAAATTGTCCAGACTTTAATACTTTCCATAAAAATTAATGCAATAAGTCATGTAAACGCTGTTCTAAAAACAGCTATATATTTATTACAAAAATGCATTATTACAAAAATTGCATAAAACAAATATTTATTGTTGCGCTGTTACTGTTTCATGCTGTAGGATTACGTTAATCAGCGGCTTTCTTGTACAAGTGGGTTTTATAGGATTCAAAATAGACTGAATAATTGGAGAATTTATATTCTATTATGAACCAATGTCATTATTGCAGAACCGACAGGATTATTGCAGAAATCCTTGCTCATCTACCCTGCACTGTAGCATCCCAGTTGGGATTCTGGAGGCCAAGGGAAAGAATGTCTGGAGGGGACTTCCATCACCCTGTAACTCTCTCATTTAGCAGGGAATTAATAGAAAATGAATATGACCGAGTTGCCCTCCGCCCACTGTGTGGCTTGAAATCTTAGTTGTTGGCTCCCGAGGACAGCCAGCTCTAAGAGCATTTGTAGAGAACCTGAGCAGTTTGAGGAGGACTCAAGCAGGGGACAGTGCTCAGGTACAGCAGGGTGGGCAGAGATACTATAAAATATAAAACTTCCAAAGTTTCTGTGTGCACAAGTCTTCGAAATCCTTGCCAGGCATCCTTTCTAAACACAAAACACAAAAGTTCTCTTTCCCCATATACAATGCTATCACTGCAATGCAGGAGCTTGAAGACGTACGGAGCAGCAATTTGGGGACTCTTTAATCCATTAGAAGCATTCATTTTATTGGTTGAAAACAAAATAAAGTCTTTTGCTTACCAGCATTATCACAACTGCTACAATGCAGGAAATATTTACATGTCTCCTATTAAAACAATGCTTCCTCCTAGCTTAGTAGTTGTAACCTTTAAATCCCAATCTCTAGGTCAAAGGAATGAGTAGAAAATTGCAGTAAATTGTCAGACAGTGCTTTGAGATTGTGCAACTGAATGCACAAAGCAGCACTAATCTGATGATGAGGGGGTGAAAATTTGATAAGCCTTTCCGAAGCAGATGTTCCTTCAGCAATCCCCCTTTACGCTAGTAAAATGGTTAATGTAATCTTGAGTCTGACAAGAAACTTTAAACCAGTCAATTGGACGGTTCCTGCAGAGACAGTTATAAAATATTTCTGGCTGAACCAAAGAATGAAATTATAGAAAACATTGCTTGATTTAATACATTTTACACAGATTTAAGAAAATTAATCTAACTGATCTGAAATGACCAGGAAGCCAGTCTAGCAGCATACATTACCAAAAGTAACTTTCTATGATTGTTTAATTAAAAAAAACCACTAAGAACAAACACTACTTCAAACAAATACAGATTAAGCAGAAAAATCCCTTGAAGCCTATTACAAGTCCCAGCATATTAGATCAGCTAGCTTGTGAAGAGAGCAAGAGACACGGTGTACCAGCTTCCCATAGCAGAGCCTGTACCAGCATCCCTCAGCACTGCCATTTCAAACTAACGGCCCAGAAGAGCTTCCCTGAGTTATTGACATATCACTTAGGCAGAAGGTTGGGAGAGTTATTTGAAATAACTCCCAGTAGCATCAGTGCGAGAAGAGAGAGGGAACTGAAATCCATGTGGTCAGGGCAGCCCCCCGCCTGCCTTGTCAGACCTTCCCCTGATGTGAAATACCACCCTGGTATTTCAAAAAGGTGGGCAGAGGGGGTACCAGCAGCTGCCAGCAGCACAGAAGGAGTAGGCGCCTCCTTGCTGCAACCCGCCTGGCCCCAAAACCAAAAGTTGGGAACACCAAGCCATGGTGTCCGAGGGGACCGGAGAGCAGCTGCTGGGAGGAGAGATTCACCACTCCCCTCCGTCCCTGCCAGTTTTTGCTTTGGCAGGGGCACATGGCGTGCAATAAACTCTCAGAAGTCCTGCCAGGAACATGGGAGGTAGCAAAGGGCAATTTTTGTGCAGGCTGCCCAGCCCTGGCAGCGGGGGTCCCATCTTTGGCTCCAGGAGTCCCTCCCAGGCTATACCGTTTCCTCACTACCCCCTGCAACTCCTCCTGCTACCACCTTGTGCCCCCCCAGTGCTACTAGGAAAGATACCTATTCCTTTCATCTTTTTATTTTTAGTGTATATACACACATATATGTGTATATATATGCACTCTTCAATTTATATCCATACATACAGTGTTTGCACATAGGCACATACTTCAAAATTACAAGGAGCAAATTCTTTGCCGTTAAAAGTCCCCTTCCCCTGCCTTCAAATGCCACGGTCTCCCTAGTGATCCCCAATACTCACACATCTGCTGCAATTTCCTTTGAGAAAAACTTCTTTCATCCCAGAGGAAATTTATTTAAATGATGAGACTTTTCATTTAGGGCACTTTCTAATTAAATTACCAGTCTTTAAAGCCGTTGCCTTCTAAGACTCATTGTTCTTTGCACAAGATGAGAAGGCAGTCACAATTCATTGTCTTTATAGAGACACATATTGGTTAAAAAAAATATTCAGCAGCTTGCAATTTCATGTCCTTGAAATTGGAAATGCTTGTATAGTTTAATACAGGGAAATAGCCAGCCTTTGCTGTATTAGACACGGGCCTTCAACACATCCCAATATCCATGGCATGTTTTAAAAACACACAAATTCTTTGAGATTTTAATTGTATTGTTGTAGACTCACTAAAAGTTCTTTAGTTCCATATATAGGGCCGTTACCTCACATCTGAGATTTCCATATTCTCATTGTCACAAGACAAGCGATCTTGACATTACCACGAACATCCTGAAAAATACTTCTTGCGTGCCCTTGCTCTGTTGGTTATCTTCATTGATGAACCATTGCTTAAAAACCATCCCCGTTGCTTTTAAGCACTTCTACAACCTTCTTGGACCAGTGTGTAACACCACTATAGACATGATAAATGTTCTGCTTGGAAATCTATCTGCCAAATTTCCATTATTGGTATCTTGGGCAAGATTCATTTCCCCTAGCTCTAGAGGTCCACAATGCAGTTTTCTGTATCAGAATTCATCTTCCTAGGCTCCCTTCATAATCAGTGGGGAGAAAAAACACACCTTCAGGCATAATTCATCCAACTCAAACAAAACATTTACTTCAGGATGAGAATAACTGTGCCCTAGAGATGCCTGCTTCTCTGTGTAGGGTGACAAGTCAGGATTAGATGGTTTCATTTAGTCAAATAAATTCCACCATTTGTGTTTGAAGGTATTCTTTTCCTCCCATGCTCTCAACATGGAGCATGACACACAGGTACTGAAATCTCATACAGTCATAAGGGGAATTTGTACATGAGAGCATGCTAGAGAGTTCACCCCCTAAAGAGCTGCTCTTGTTTTGAGAGTACAGACTCAATATTTCCCAATAGAAGGAAATGATCAGTTTGCTCTAATTAACGTGGCTGAACATGTGTACTAAAACTGACTTCCTCCATTTTCCGCCCTTATGTTCAGTAATTTAACAGAATACTTCATGCTCTTAGGTGCCTATTTCAATCCAAAACACACTCTGAATAGCACTTGTAGCTAATTGATTTGTTTTAATTTACTTCCAGCTTGCTCTCTAATGCTCCACCACGGTACTTTTTAAATTCTGAACTCAGCAGAAGACCTTCCTGCGAGAATAGCTTCTCTGAGCTTCCCCACAGGGCTTTCACGCCACAGTTCACAGATGAAGAGGCAACGGGAGGACATACACCACCTCCGGCCGTGCTAGAGGTGCACATGGCAGCTGTCATTCCCCCCCACTTCCTGAGTGATTAGGTTTAATCCTTTTGACCAGTGCAGGCAAGGAGACAGGGTGCCAGCTGAAGCTTGCCCCTTCAGGATTTATAACATGGGTGGCTGCTAGGGCCATTTCTCTTGAGGTTTTAAATGGGAGTTTCCCCAGAGGGAACACAGGGTGGTCACTTTGGGAACTAGCTGACTTTCCCAGTCCCCAAGTCCATTGTATTTAGTGTCATTGGTACAAAGACAGGTTTTGTTTCATCCATACACTCAAGCAAGGTACCACTGTGTTGGAATAAATATGAACTGTGGACTTTTTTTCCACTATCAGGAGCTCAAGCCAAGGGATAGTTTTCTCCAACAGAAAAAAAAAAAAAATGCTTTCTGTTACTTTTAATCCTTCATCCAGCTTCTCCCCAGACAGGCTTACTCAGAGTAAAACATGGAGGTAAATCTCAGCCTAAGAGAGGAAGCTGACAATGTTAAATGTGCTTTCAGACAGCCTACCAACTACACAGATTGCTCCAATTTTCTTTCCTGAACTTCATGTGCGTAGTTTGCTTGCTGAGGTACCAAGTACACTAAGGATAATGCCAGATCCCTTTGTGGCCCATCTGCAAGCACGTGGCATGGATAACCTGCCCCAGAACAACACTGGTGATGCTTCATCTGGTGCTGGGTCATCTGCCATCCTTGGCAGAAAAGCTCTTTTCTGGTCCCACTGCTTTCAAACAATACCTCTTGCCAACAGCACCGAAATCAAACATGTGTCACAGTTTAGCTTAAGCCATCTGAAATGGAAAAAGGACCAACTTTCTAGTTAAGCATCAAGTTAACTTGACAAGGAGGAGAATGTGGCCCTTTGAAGCACAGTTATTTTCAGCCACGCTCTTGCTTCCAGAAAATGAATTTTCTTACTAGAGAAAATAAGACTCAGAAATCTTACAAAAATTATTCTTCATGGATACATCCTGGAGTTACATCTTTTTATCTAAGAGACCTTCAACCTCTACCTCTGCTTTTGGGTACAAGAAAACCCAAGGACCTCTTCTGTCTTCTTATTCTTAACTTAAACACATAAAGGAGTACTTAGTCGAAGAATTTTTCCACTGGCTTTACTTGGAGACAAGTTTACAGCTGCTGACCAGCTAAATTGTCTTCAAGTTATTTATACTCTGATCTCTTGTACTAGCAACTAAGAAAATTACTGCATCCTTATACAAGGCATGATGAACATTTTCATTTGCCATGTCTGAATCCATGTTCTTAGAAATCTAATGCACTTAAACTTAGATGGCCCTTCCTTGGAGGAGACACCTTTTGGCAGGGCAATTGTAATGGATCAATTAACACGTTCAGCATTTGATTTCAATTCACCCTGCACATCCATCAGAGCTTCTAAGCACTGGTGCTTTAGCAGAGCAGGCATAAAAAACTGCCTGAACAGATGGCTGGGAAGCAAAGTGCTTGCACCCTAACCCTAGCTTGCACCTTCAAAAACTCATCTACAGTTCCACACCTGAGTGAAATCATGATTGCTTCAAGATAAAAAGACATTATAAATGCAAAGTACCACTAAGAACAGTAAGTCATTCTTAATAGTAAGCTTCTTGTCTCAAAGGGGTTTTCAGCACCCTAGATGCCCATTATGTTTCCACCTGGTTCTCCAGGCTTAATAAATCGCCCAGTGTTATCCGTATTCCCCCTTACACTCATAAGGCCTGCATTGTGCTTTCTCCTTCAAAAGAAGTCCTTGAGAAGTTCAAGCAAGGGCTAACAAGACTATCTGTAACCTTTCACTGCACTTAAGCTAGGTTTCTAACCTTACAGATCAGAAGCACTGGAGCTGAAAAGCAAATCTCTTACCTGGGAGATGCATCAGGAACGATTTGCTGCTGGGTTCTTTGCTGCAGAGCTAATGGCCAGCGCTCATTGCTCAAACTACTTGCAGACTGTAGAGAGATGGGCAGGGGAAATGCAACCAACTCACTGCTGCCAACAGGTACGGTATGGACAAGGAAAGACGTCCAAATGGGAGCATTTGGTCAAATTGCACAGAAAGATATCCTAAAAGCTGTACGAAACAGAGCTCAACTTGTCCCTCAAGACTCTTTTGCCACTAGAGCAAAAGGAAAGTACTTAGTCTGCCCCTCCCGGAGTACTAAGCCATCCTTTTTTTTTTACATTGCTTTGCAGCTAAAGCAAAAGCAAAAAACTTGTCATTAACCTCACTAGTTTCTGTGTTTCTAGTAATAAGGAAAGAAATAGGGGGTAGGAAATATTCAGCTTCTCTCTCCGATTATAGACACCCTGTTGCTAATATTATCAAACATCTGAAAGGTTAATAAAAAAACCCAGCCAATTAAAGTGTCATGTACTGTTGGCAATGCAGATGTCCAAACACAGAAAATCTGGATAATTAAAGCTTTAAGTATGTGAATTTTCCATTGCCACTCATTATTACTATCATAACTCTTATGTACTGAAAGAAGGGCTACATCTCCTTTATAGAGGTGGTTTATTTCATTAAGTCCATGTGTACAGGTAAGAAAATTGCAATAGTGCCTAGAGGAACAAGGACACCATTAAGCCTAGGTATTGAATACACAATAGAATAGATAAATATAATCCCTGACACAGTGTTTGCAATATAGCAGATGAGGGAAATACTACTAAATGATACTTAATTCTTTTAAATCACTACAATTTTAGATACTTAAGTATAACATTTCCCAAGGTTGATACTCAATTCCTTTAAATATTTAACCAAGATGAAATGTCCTTTAAAGATAGGCAGGAAGTCAACTAGATGTTGAAAGGCTTTCTCAAGAAATTGAGAGGTACAGGAGGTTCTCTAGCCTGTTTCATGGAGAACAGGAGATCTTTATGAGCTTTTCTCTGGTCATAAATGAGCTTTAGGAAAATCAAACAGTTGATTCTATGCCTTTTAGCTAAAGTTAATAAATATAGGCAGTCTTGGTTGTCTTTTCAAACAGCTATCCTACATATGACTATAGCAATAGCACTAGAAGCTTCATGATAGCTGGTAAAACATATTTGGATTCCTCACCCCCTACCAACTGAATCGTTAATTCTCTAGCACCTGTAGCATACCTATAGGAATAAAAACATCCTGATTGAAGAGGACAGGGGATTTGAACATGCCTTTAATGTTCTGATCAAATGGTCTTAAAGGGCAGTAGACTCTTAAATGAAAAGCAAAGGCTTGAAACAGCAAGAATTGCACAGACTGACATTTTTACTATAGTCAGAAGAAAGTTCCTGTGCTCATCAGCCTCTTTTTTTTTTTGATAGATAAATCATCCAAATATTGCTTCTCCCAGGGGTCCCAAGCAACATTTGTGACATTCTTAAAGGCAGTTACTTTTTAGTCTGCCTGCTCCAAGACCACACATATAAATACTTAATAGCGCAGCTTATGAAAACTTTTCAAAGGCAATTGCCTTTCCCATGACACACCTTTTGCTGGTTTTACATAACTGCTTTTAAAGTGCAAGTGTAGTAATCATCATCATCATCTATGGCAAACTGACAATATTAAGAAGACCTAGTCCCATACGTAAGTCATTGCAATTTATAACACCATTTTTATTATCAACCTGCAATGCAGCCAACACATGCAGCTGAAGAAATAACTGTTGTTATTCTTATAAAATGAAAGTGGCACATAGAGTTGCGGTCAAAACTCAAATACTTCAACTTCAGTTGCAGACTGGAAAATAACTTTGTCATGCCATGGAATCAAGCACATTAAGAGCCCCCTGCTACCGACTTCCTCAACGGATGTCTCAACAATTGTACTGCACTTCTGTTAGCACAATACCATCAATGACGCAGCTGAGCTTCCTTCCAAGGCATACTTCTTACCCCCACAAAAACTCAAGAAAACACACTCATGACACCGGAATAAAAGGTCACAAGTACCTCTTCTCTACTCTTACATGTTAGCAAAAGAGCCACTAAGATACAAACTTCTTGTACTTTGAAGACTGGTCAATATCCTCCTCCTGGATACTTGTCATGGCAGCAAAAGATTTTTAATTACATTAGGCTGAAAAAAAAATTGCATTATTAAGAAAGAATCAAACAGTTCTTTCCTTGAAGCCCATTAAGGCTAACAGACCTAAAGCCTTGGTCTGGCAAGTGTTCAGCCAGACAGGGAAAACATCTATGATACTGTCAGTGGCGCAGGGCAAGGAGCCCCAGCTGGAGTGCATCTATTTTTCTATCTGGAAGGAAATTTCTCAGGGAAAAGGACTGAGAAATAATCGCCTTGCATTCAAAACACCTGATATGTGTGATGACAAAACCCCCTTTTCATTGCATTTCGTTATCCCATCAGGAGGGAATGACAGAAGAAGAAAGAAAGAAGGATCTGCTGCTTCCCTGAATACAGTGCTGCTAATAGCAGTCCTTTGAGGCTCCAGCTATTCACCACAGGTTTGTTTCAGAGATCCAAACTTGTAATACTCGCTTGTCTTTACAAGGTTACCTCGAGCAACGTGCAAATATTTGACCGTGCTAACATCTGTAAATATTGAGCATCATTATTTCAGAGTTGCTCTGCAGCACAACTTTCTGGGGATCATTCGTGGCACTCCACACCACAGCATCCGAGTAACCTTTGATGAAATTAAATGGCTCTGATTAAACTAGCCCACAGTCATACCAAAGGAAGAACAACTGGAAGCTGTAACAGATTATTTGAACTAGATACTTTCCAGCCTAAGGGCATTTTATTCATTGCTTCAATCCTTCAGTTCCAGGACTATGCGCACACTTGAGTTTTCAATAAGTTTATGAAGCACAAGGACTGAAATATCCATTTTACATATGGACACACTTAAGTCATTCATTCACCCAAGATGTCCTAGTACCTTTGCAGCCACAGAGGACAGAAGGGACCCTACCACCCTGCTTGGCACCATCATGAGGTGTGTGGGATCCTGGGCATGCAGGGCGAGTGCCAAGGTTGCAAGGAAATGCCCTGGTGCAGAAGGGAGAGAAACCAGTTCAGAGAGGTGTGAAGATGCCAGCACACTTCCTTGATCTGTATTACCATGCTCCAGCACCCAACAGGGACCTTCCCAAAACAGTTTTGGCACAGATATAAACTTCTAACTGAAAAACAATCTCTAGCTTGTACACCGACTCATCTCTTTCTTAAGCCTGAAGAGGCACGCTTTGCCACAGTTCTCTGAACTGGGCAGAGGCAAACCAGCAAAAAGGGTGGACAAGTTCACCGTGTGGGGCAGAGGCAGCTGTTTTGTCATGCGTCACACACAAACACCATCTCCATCAGTCTGGCTGGATGTTGCTGCAGAAGTAACATCTGCACAGAGAACATTCTTCCTTCCTGCCATCCAACTTCAACACTGCTCGCCACAGGAAAAGCAATTATCTCTTAATCACCACAGAAGTCAGAAGCCAACATAAAAGCAGCAGATATATATATATATAAAAAAAACCAAAACCACAACAGACCATGTCAGGTTCCCATTTATCTAAATTAAAATCTTTATCCATTTCAACATAATAAGGAGCATAAACCTACTGATCCCATTAAATACAGCTGAAACACATCTTACAGCAATGCTCTTCATCATAACAAAAGGTTAATTTAATCATCCTGTACCACATTTGATGGTTATTAGAAGAAGCCAAATTTTATTTTGGGGGTTGGTTGCTTTGGGGTTTTTTTTGTTTGTTTTTGTCAGGCTTGGTTTTGTTCTGCTTCTTTCTTCGATGTTCTTCTGTGCTTACTTTCCATGTTATATCTCACCTCCAGCTGAGATATATGGGAAACCTTCATGGCATTTAAAGGTCCACAGCATTTTTTCCACTGCTAGCTGAAAATAATAGAGAAGCAAGGACTTCAGTACATTTCAGCAATTTTCCTTCCTACAGCACTATCTCAAATCACATGTTTTCTAAAAGCTCCTATGCTGTTTATTATAGTTTCTTTAATTTTAAAGTTTGGATTTAGATTAGTTGATGGTTACGTCTACAAGGTTTTCTTCCACGCAGTGCTGTATACTCCTTAGTGAATTGAGAGTACTGTCAGTCAATATTGTGGTCAAACCAAGTCATACTGAAGTAATCAAAAGAAAAAAAAAAAAAAAAAAAAAACACACAGGGACAAAATTAGTAAAATGTTATTTCCAACACAACAGATTCAAAGATTTTAGGACAAAGTTAACTGCATGGCCAAAGTTAGCTTCTCATGAAAAAAAAATTCATTATCAGAAAGAGAGAGAACAAAGCAACTGGAATAAATTATTTGCAGAAGGAAAATACTTTGATTGCTTGCCTGGGTCTAAAGCAATCCATTTGAATTATCAGAAAGGATAATAAATGTTGCAGTAGAGGTCAAGTAACAGCAAAGCCAAGAGCTGCAGCTAATGGTGTTGGAACTTTCCTAACCCCAAAGCCCAGAGTTAAACACCTACAGAACAGGCAGAGCTTCCAAGTAAAGACAATATAGTTGATTTCTTCAGATGCTGGCAGCCACAATCATTTTATCTGTTCCAACAGCTTTTCCTAATACAGCAAGTCACTAAACAGACCCTGCAGGCTCAGTTATCCCCCTGCTAAGCAGGAGCTGTACCCTGGAGTTGGAGAGGAACGTGCACCCCTCACACACCTGTATACAGATAGCAGTGGGAGCAGCAGGCATTGGAGCTTGCAGATGCAACAAGGCTCCCACCCTGAGAGGGGCTGAAAGTCTTACCGGAGCCCCAAATATCCACCCACAACCTTCAGGGACTAATGCCACTGCTGGAGGACAGATTCTTTCCCATCCCTCACAGTGCCTGGGTGCAGTGTGGCCTGGCCAGTCTGGGAGGTTTTAGGATTTGCTGCACTACATATTATATACCACAAGCATATAACAAAGGTACTGTAATAGAGCTGGATGGGCCATATAAAAATTAGTGTCATCAGCTCGCCATTTGGATATTTCTCCTCAGGCTTGCTGGTTTT